GTGAGGCTCTGCCTACCTGGGACTGGTGCCATCTCCTTTTGGAGACACGCCATTTCTAGATCCGTATTTGGCGGATTAACTTCTGGCTTGGGCTCCGCTGATGCGGTCCTGGCTGCCCCGGCACACTCCTGAGCTTTTAAAAGTTCCGAGAGCGAGCCACATCGCTTCTCTGTGAGCCTTGTCACAGGCAGAATGTGCCCAACCCCAGAGAAAGTACCCAGACAGCTGATTTTCTCCATGATTGCTTTTTTCTACAATAAATCTCCTATGTCTTTCCATTCTTCCACTGCAAAAGGCAGCAGTGGGACCTGGGGGCGCCCGTACCTATTATCTCTAGCCCATAAAACGAGCTTTCCAAGGTCCATATCCTTGACTGCTTCATTTCATTTACGATAATGTTTAGAAGCAGTTCGTGCTGCTGCAAACCCGTCCATTCTTTGTGACCACGGGTGCGGGGAGGGTCACGACCCCTCCTCACCTCTTCTGCCCTCGGTCTCCCCCAGCAGCCTGCCTCCATTCCGCGTCTCCCCGCCCGCAGGCTCGCCTACCCGGTACCGATCTGCATCCGCGTCTTCCCGCGCATGGATCTGCCCCACCAGCTCTACCACCGAATCCCCTCTGCCCGCAAGGGGTCCCTGTTCGGGCACCAGATATTGAGAAACCGCCAGACTGTTCAGCTGAGTCTTCACAGGAACTATGGCAAACGTTGTTTATTTCTATCTCTAGCACACTTTTATAGGGTCCGACAAGGTCCGCAGGCTTAGCAAGCTACTACTGGTTAATACATATGGTTTACATTCTTTCCCCAGTACACAAGGCTATTGTTTTTCTTTCATTCTCGCTGCTTCAGGAGAGTTTCAAGGACACTATCTTTAATATCATCGCTTATACCAAAGGCTGGCTTGTGCAGACAGGCTTTTACTAAAATACCATGCTTTTACTCTCTTAAAATGTTTTACTACACAGCTCCCCTCCCAGATTCCCAGCAAAACCATGGAATTACAGCATTATGGGCATTGAGAATATGGAATCCTCCAGTTCCCCTCCCAAATTCCCATGGAATAACAGCATTCTGGGCATTGGGAATTTCAGATCCTCCAGTATTGCTGTTCAAAATGCTTGCTTGCGGTGAGAGACTTCTCCAGGGTCAAGCTGTTCAGGTATAAGTAATTTATTGTAAGGGCAAAGAGAGGGAGAGACCCGTGTCCGCCACCAGCCTCGGCGTTCGCATGGTCCCGGGTCAAGGGGAGAGAGTGCGGGGAGAGAGGGAGAAAAGAGGTTAGAGATGAGGAGGGAGGGAACAAAAGCAACAGAGGGAGAGCAGGGAAAAACAGAGAGGATTAGGAGAGAGGGGGAGGACAAGGGAGGGGTAAGAGGGGGAAAGAGGGAAAAACAAGAGGGAGAGAACAGGAAAAGCTAGAGAGGGGTAAGAGCAGGGAAGGGCTAAGAGAGGGGGAAAGGCTAAGAGGTGGGGAAAGGGGTAAGAGCTAAGAGGGAGGTAGGAGCAGGGAAAGCAAGAGCTGAGAGTAGGGGAAGGCTATGAGAGAAGAGCTAAGAGTAGGGAAGGAACTAAGAGCTGAGAGAGGGGTAAGAAGTAAGAGAGGGGTAGGAACTAAGAGAGGGGTAGGGAAATAAGAGAGAGGTAAGAGCTAAGAGAGCGAAGTTCTTGTTACAATACAATATATCTTTTTCTATAGTGAATATTCTAATTCACAGTAACCAATCACTACGAGATACACCCACTAAAGAATTTACATACAGCCTATGAGCATCCCCATATTAACATACAGTGTTGCATTTTAAAAAATGCAACTCTAAAAGCTTTACAAGTTCTTTCCTTGCTTCTTGACCTTTGGACTTTCTGTCAGCAGAAGGACATTGTTTTATCAACCAGGGATTCTCCTTTAGCTCGCTAGGCTATTGTTCTTCGCTTATACAGTAACTGGTACTCAGCATCATGACTCAAAGCAGGCTTTCATTTCTACTTTGATTCTAGCCTTCATATTTTCAGAATATTTTGCCAAACAATCACACTCATAAGGTTTCCCTGTTTCATCCTCCCCAACACTCCAGCTCCCCTCCAAAATTCCCATATCATAACAGCATTCCAGGCATCGGGAATTTCAAATCCTCCAGTTGTTGAACCAAATTCCAATGGAATAATAGCATTCTGGGCATCAGGAGTTTGAATAATGGCACAGTTATTACTACAGAACGGTCATGTACTTGATGGCATTGGATACTACAGGTGGGAAGGAAAACTGGGAATGGCTCCAGTGGCTGTGGAATCTCTGCCAAGCTCATCATATCTGGACAACTCTACAACTCAGGAACACACAAAAAAACATGGAAACATTGAGGCACTCAGCCACACATTGGAAACCATGTAACTGGGTTTTTTTGTTCATTTTTTATATTTTCAAGAAATTTTTCCCTTTTAAAATCATTTGTCCTCCTTTTTTCCCTGTTTTTTTTTTCTTTTTCCCCCTTTTTTTAAAAAAAAAAAAAAAAATCTCAACCCCTTTTTATTTTCAATCAGAAAAATTCCAGGCAACTCAAAGGCAAAAAAATGAGAAGTCCAAGAAACCAAAATAGTTTTCTTCTCCAGAATAACACATGGCAAAATCATATATTTTAAATAGTAAAATAAAGTACCAAAATTTAGTCCCTAAAAAAGCTATAAAGGAGAAATATTCAGAATACTGACAAGCTATTATTATTGTTGTTGTTATTATTATTATTATTTCTCCTTTTTATTCTTTTTGTGGGAATTTTTTAATGGAATAAAAAAGTGAAAAATAAGCCAATTTTTTTATTGCCTTTTTTCTTGTTTCTTTAATCTACTCAGGGTGTCCTATGAGTCTGTTTTATAGCAAAAAGAGCACTAGACAAATGAAGCTTTATAACAAATAGCCAGGCACTGATACATGGTAAAATTCTGATTTTTTTAATCTTTTATGTTTTTCCCAATTTGTCTTGTTTTTTCCTCTTCTTTTCACCGCAGTTGCATCATAAGTAAGGAGAATGAAAAAAAGGTCACAGTCCATCATCATTTTCACCATTTTACAGAAGCTTTATACATAAATATCTGGGAATGAGGTTGGGCAAAACCAATGAACAGGAGGTAACTTCCAGTCCCATCAGAAAGGAAAAGTGGGATTTCCGTGGGAAAAAAATCTAATAAAATTGTTTTAAAATCCAAAATATTCCCAAATAAAACCAAACATTTGGGCCCACCCAGGCCCTGGTGACCTGTTGTGTTGGAATTTCTCCCATTCCATCACCAAGTTATTTTTTTCCAGTGGATTTGTTTAGAATGTTATTCTTTTTTTCCCCTTATATTTCCTTCTTCAAAATTCTTTTTTTTTCCAGTTCCTTTGTGCTTGTTTTTGCTTCAATTTTCTCATTCCCTTAATAGCTGGGATTTTTGTGGATCTGGGTTGTTTTGGCTCGTTCTCCCCCTCCCCGGCCCCCTGAAATCGCTAAGAAATATCCCAAAAAACCTCAGAATCAGCCCAACTTGCATCAGCATTGTCACCGGAGTGTTCCTAGCAAATGGGCAGAATATTCAGGATGAGTATCCGCTATCCAGCAGACCATGAATTCCTGCAATGGGGAGGTGTAAAAAGCTGTAAAAATTGGGATTTTCCCTTTCTGGGAGCATTTTTGAGCATGGGGATTTTATCCCCACAAGGAATAAAATCCTTCCTGGTTTTAACCAATCTATTTGGAATGCTGCACATGGTTCACCTGGGCTGGGAAAAACCAGGAAAATCCTGCATCGCACACTTGAGGGAGGGGTCTGTTAAACCTGACTCATCCCAGGAACTTCCGCTCCTCAATCAGGGAAGGATGGATTAGGGAATTCCCCGGTCCAGGAACACCGATGGCACCTCCCAGAAAACCGTTTCCTTGCTTTCCCAATTCCAGAAACTGAATTATTGGATTATTTTCCATCAGGAAATTGGGTTCTTCCCAGCATTCTAGTCCTCAGCTGTGAGATATGGAATTGTAGAAGATTCTCAAAGCCTGACTGAAAGCTCACATAGTCTTGTACGTTCGTATGCAAACTCTGAGATAAGGAAGCTTAGATATTCTTGTACATTTGTATGCAAACTCTGAGATAAGGTTTGCTGACTTAGCTAGGCCATGGAATAGAGAAGACCTCGAAGAGAACGAGATTGAACTGGAAACGAGTTTCAAACAATGGCCTTGCAAACAGACCAGACATTTTGGAGAATCAGAACTGGGAAAGATGCATTGTATCAAGATCACATGGGGTAAAATCAGAGGTGATTGGTGTTAGAAGTATTAGCAGCATTATACAGGAAAAGATAATAGGCTGAAAAACATAAGGTATTGTAACCAGGAAGTAAGTTGGCTTCTGATGTGATGGTGTTGAATGTAACATCTTAAATAACTTACCCTTCCATGAGACTGATAATGGAATCAAGTATTTCAAAGTGCCTCTCAGTTGCCCTGTCTCTGTACAGCTCGAATCTTCCAATCATCAGCATTCTGGTAATTCCACAGATCCCTATTCCGGATGTGATTCAGAAGGTTGGAATATCCTGAAAAAGGGGATTTGTGGCTTCTTCCTTGCAATCCTGAGATCTCCAGTGCTGGCACATCCCAGCATTCTCAACCCCCTCAGATAAACCTGCTCCAGTTTGGAGCTCTGGGGAAACACCAGAGAAGCTGCGTGTCAGGAACAAGGCAGATGCTGGGGGTTGCTTATGGAGCTGGATCAAGAGGCACCTGGAAGCTCTCAGCAATGCAGGCAGCAACACATGGGCACAAGGACACAGATGGCGCTTCCTGGCTGGGACAGAGGTTGTGCTGAAGGCACCAAAAGAAGCACCACAGGCCAAGGGCTTCTGGCCACTTTCCCTGCACCACTGCACGCCTGGGCAGCTTGCCGAGCACAAGCACCCTTTTCACCCTCTTCCCCTATGCCCTGTGCACCATGAGCAGCAAAAGAAAAGTCTTGGGAGTCTGTGTATTGTAACACATCCTATATTTATATACTACAGAAAAATGAAAGAAGAAAAATAACAATATTTAAGAAATGCAAAATGCCTGCCAGCTCATGTGGCCCCAGCAAACAGAGCCTGCCGGATCAGTCCCCGCCACAGCTGCAGCAGCATAGGCAGCTGAGGATCGATAGACGAGGCCGTGATCTCCATGCCCTGCGGAGCTGATCTCGCAGCCTCTGGAACATGGAGATCGGAGCGGGGTCTCCTGCCATCAGAAGGCGCAATGTCTGAAGTGCCTGGCCTCTGATCTCCAGGCTGATGTCATTCATCATGTCTGCTAGGGCTGGAAGAGAGACAAACAGAGCCACGGTCAGATCCCAGTCCTATGAGGGCCCACGGAGAGCCCCCTGCCAGGGCCATCCCAGCGCAGGGAGCAGGGACCCAGGGGATCAGCCCGAAGCTGCTGGCCACAAATGCCCCACGTGCCCCTGAAATCTCGGTGTGCTCTGCCCACACCACCCCTGATCTGTTGAGGGAGCAGAGCCCTCCACAGCCAGGCCAGGACTTGCAGCTCCCCCCGCTAGCCCCGCTGACAGCCCGCTGCCCTCACTCACATTGGTAAATGAGCTGCAGCTCTTTCTTCTGCCCCATCAGGAGCCGCCCGGCAATCCCTGGGAATACAGAGCCTGTCAGGGCCCCGGCGGCACAGCTCCCTGCCAGCGGCGCTGCCAGCCCTGGGGCCACACGCCCTCCCGCCCCGGCAGGGTTCAGCC